TTTCAACAGCTGTGAATTTTAGTCATTCACAGCCCGTAATGATTCTCAAACAGTTTGTAAATAGTCCCATGGAAGTTTGCCAAAGTCCTTCAGGATAAGTCTGATAATCACACACCTTTATCTTCCTTGAAATGCTGCCAACGACTAAATTTCCAATTAGTTATACGAGGCCAAGCAGAGCACAAATTCAACACGGAGCTTCAGGTTTCAAACCAACCAGTATGAACAAAGTTGCTTTCTGCAAAGGCTCATGTCCCTTTGCTCCTCCTTTATGCCTTATGGGAGGGCCAATAACCTCCAAGCCTTACTCCCAAGTCGCCCCTTTTGTCTTAACTGTTCTTGGGTTCTGGCAGCTTTGCGCATGTGTGCGCACTGGGAACAGGCTCCCCCTGTTCCTCTGCCTCACTGCTGCCAGAATCCGGAGGCTCCCGAGTCAGCACATAACTCCCAGCTGGCCCTGGCCTGATCTCTGTATCGGACACAAGACCCTCGTCCGAGTCCTCCCCAGACTCCCGGACTGGCCCATGTTCCTCCCCGCTGTCTGACTCTGCTGCCGTCTCCACAGGCTGCTGGCAGACCACAACATTAGCAACACAAATTTTGGGCTCCATTGAGATCGTAAACTGAGGACCAGCTGCACGCGGAAAACTCCCCAGCTCATTGAAAGAAAAAATAATAATACTCATGTTTAGGGGCTGACTGTGAGATATTAATTTTGCTTGACAGTTCTGCTGTGGTGAATTTTGCGAGATGTTTGTGAACTTTTCAGCGCAGGTTGTGAGAATTTTTGCCTCACAAACTTCACTTAGAAGCCATGCGTGGGAGTCTTAACTAGCTGAAGCTTTGTGAATCATGATTGTAAGTGTGAAAGTGAAGGAGGGTGTGTGTGTGTCATGCCCTTATTAGAGTCAGACTCTGAGGGAGAGGAGAAACAGCCGACAGGGAGTGGAGGTGTGGCTCCGGAGGTTGTGGAGGAGGCTGGGGAAGGGCAGAGGCCACCTGGGCAGTCAGAGGAAGAACCAGGCCCATCCCCTCTGCATCCTAGGATACGCAAGGAGGAATGGAGAAGGGAACAACTTGGCTTACGAGAGAGGAAGTGGCCATGATACCCCTCATTGGTTGCAGCTGGGGAGAATAGTATATAAGAGAGACGGTTAAAACACAGCGTTGCCAGAAGCAAAGCGTGTTTTTTTCTGGGCTGAAGTTATCTTGGATGGCGTCCTTCTAACAGACTGTGCCTTGTTATCTCCTTGAAGTTGGTAATTACTTATCCTGGTCCATTGTGGAAATTCCTTCATTGTAGTTTGTTTTAGTTTTTTATTTCACCATTTGCTCATTAAGTTCGGACTGTATTGCTTTCTTTTCAAGACTATTTTTGAATAAGTTTAATCTCCAACTGAGAATTATTGAACAGTGGGGCCAAGTTGGAGGCATTAAAGGACATTTATTTACGTTTTGGATTTTGTTATGTTTGTGTTACACTCCGGGTCATCATAGTGTGTGTGTGTGTGAGAGAGAGAGAGAGAGAGAGAGATTTAGCAGCCATTGTTGAATAAATAACATCGGAACGAGGAATTGTTCACCTCACGGTATAGAAACCATGATTATCCAACCCTCTTAGACTTGTAGCATTAATACCAGAAAATTAACAGGCCGGCTAAAATTATTACTATTACTATACTAAAGCTATTACTAAAAAAGCTAAAATTATTTAACCCAAGGGGACCAATTTTGTGGAATACAGGTAGTCCTGAGCTCCATACAGGTAGTCCTGAGCAACCTGTATTCAACAAAATTTGTTGAGTGAGTTTTGCCCCATTTTAAGACCTTCCTTCCCACCGTTGTTAAGTGAATCACTGCAGCTGATAGGCCAACATGGTTGTTAAGCGAATCTGGCTTCCCCCAATGACTTCGCTTTTCTGAAGGTCGCAAAAAGGGATCCCATGACCCCTGGGAAATAGCAACTGTCATAAGTATGAAACCGTTGCAAACAAGCATTTGAAATTTGATCATATATCATATTTGAGTATTTTTTTAAAGTTAGTGAAATATCCAAACTAGAAAAAAGTTTTCGCCCTTTGGGGTTTAAAAAAAAAAAAGAGAAAGAATACAGAGGATTCTCTTAATATGAATTATGACAAAGATTAATGAGTTAACAGAAGCATATAATTACGCCCCACAGCAAAGAGAAGAAGAGATGGTCAAATTGATTCTTTTATCCAAAGAAGAGAATATATCGAACCTTGTTTCTAGTTCGAAATTGCTTCCGGATTTTTGTGTTTGCAATGGGGAAAAAAAACGAAAGTTTGATTTTGTGTTTGCTAATTAGGTAAGCTTATTGTGGCTTAATAATGGCTTATATATACAGTTGTGTAAAAGTAAAAAGTTGTGGTTGTAATGCTGTTATCTCCTCTGCTAAAGGGAGTTGGAAGTCAGTGTCTTTTTCTTTCCTTTCCCCCCTTTATACCATATATTTTTTTCTTTTCCCTTCCCCCTGTTCCTAGTTTTCTATTACTTTTTTTTGAATTTTTCTTTGTATTTTATGTTTTGATAAACCAATAAAAAAAGGAAACATGATCACGTGATCGTGGGAATTCTGTGGAGGTCTCAACTGCGAAAAATGGTCCTAAGTCACTTTTTTTTGTAACTTTGAACGGTCACTAAACAAACTGTTGTAAGGACTACCTGTAATTATCTTATATCAGAATGTCGGATATGGAAAGTTCTAAGTGGTGCTTGATTTAAAGAGGCACCTTTCTAAAAGCCAAGTGCAATCCTAAGTTTCATTAACAGAGGGATACAATCAAGATCAAGTAAGGTAGATCAAGTAAGGTACTAATACCACTCTATAAAGCTTTAGTAAGGCCACACCTAGAGTACTGCGTCCAGTTTTGGTCACCACACTATAAAAAAGAGGTTGAGATTCTAGAAAGAGTGCAGAGAAGAGCAACCAGGATGATGAGGGGAGTGGATGCTAAAACATACAAAGAATGGTTGCAGGAACTGGGCTTGGCTAGTCTAGTGAAGAGAAGGACCAGGGGAGACAGGAGAGCAGTCTTCCAGTATTTGGGGGGCTTCCACAGAGAGGAGGGGCTCAAGCTATTTTCTAAAGTGCCTGTAGGCCAGACAAGGAATAATGGTTGGAAACTGAAGAAGGAGAGATTCAACCTGGAAATAAGAAGAAATGTTCTGACAGTGAGAACAATCAATCCATAGAACAGAAGTTGCCTTCAGAAGTTGTGGGAGCTTCCTCACTGGAGGCTTTTAAGAAGAGACTGCACTGCCATCTGTCAGAAATGGTGTAGGGTCTCCTGCTTGGGCAGAGTGGTTGGATTAGATGACCTACAAGTTCCCTTCCCACTCTGTTAACCTGCTAATTTAATTTGATTTTGAGAGACGAAAATAGGCAGGTGGGCATCTCTCTTTATGTACAGATATTGTCTGATCAAAATTATGAAGCTGGGTTGTGATGTGTCCCCCCCAATTTGACATAGAAAGGACAGCCAATGGACCCCACGATGGCGCAGTGGTTAGAGTGCAGTACAATAGAGTGCAGGCCACTTCTGATGCAGCCAGTTGCCTGCAATTTGGCAGTTCAAATTCAAATCAGTTCAAATCCCACCAGGCTCAAGGTTGACTCAGCCTTCCATCCTTCCGAGGTAGGTCAAATGAGGACTGTAAACCGCTGAGAGAGGGCTAAAAAGCACCGTGAAGTGGTACATAAGTCTTAAGTGCTATTGCTGTAATGAGGCTAGCAGAAACAGTACAGGTAGTTCTCCACTTACATCCATTCGTTTAGTGACTGTTTGAAGTTAACAGCAGCATTGGCAAAAGTGCCATGACTGTTTTCACACTTACGACATTTGCAACATCCTTCCCCGTGTTCACCCGATCGAAGTTAGAACCCTTGACGAATGACATGTATTTATTGACAGTTGCCATGTCCCCGGCGAATCGCACGATCCTCACTTGCAACCCTTCTGAATGTTATGCCTATATTGTTATTTCAACTTAATAAAATTTTATTTTACTTTGCTCTGTGTGGTGTGGTTTATTCTGGAGAGAGAGAGAAAGAAAGAAATGTGTAAAAGAGGTTTTAAACAAAAAATCCTTGATAAAAGAAAATATATTAAGAGGCTTTTCTTCTGGCAATTATTTAAGTTGTTAGCCTCTTTCAAAATTGTGTATCATATTGTAATATATTAAGCAAGAATTGTGGGACCAGTTGGCCAAAGAAAGCTTAGGATCATATTGGTTGGAAACATGAGGAAGAGGCCTATCCCACAGTGATAGACCTGTGATGGTGAACCTATGGCACACGTGCCACAGGTGGCACGCAGAGCCATTTGTGCAGGCATGCGAGCCTCAGCCAAACTTGCCTGCACTGCGCATGCGCGCGCCTCCCAGCTGATTTTTTGCCCGTTTGAGGCCTTTTTCAGCCTCCCAGAGGCTCGAGGGAGGCCTCTGCAGCCTCAGGGTGGCCAAAAAACGGGCCTTCCGGATATACCAGAAGTGACGAAACCGGAAGTGATGAAACAGGCCCGTTTTTTGGCCTTCAAAGGCTGCAGAGGCTTCCCTCGGGCCTCTGGTAGGCCGAAAAAGGCCTCAAAACGGGCCAAAATTCAGCTGGGAGGTGTGCACATGCGCAGTGCAGGTAAGGGAGGGTGTTGCGTGCGTATGTGCAGGGAGGGCAGGACGCATTGCATTGTGAGTGCCGGCACGCGCACTTTCGGCACACCACCAAAAAAAAAGTTCGCCATTACTGGGATAGACGATGGTTAAAATGATGGTGATTGTAATTTGTAACACGTTTGGTTAATCATTGGCGTATCCTTTAAAACATTTTCTTCCTACATATTTTGAATTCTCTTTTCGAAAGATGGCGAAGACATCAGCTATTTTTTGCTCTCTGCAATTGGGGATTTCTTTTAAAAGATGAATGTTGGGTTAACGCGCTCTGCATATTAACTTTGTAAATTTATTCCTTTCTTTCTTAATAGCAAAAACTCGGGCTGCTGATTTGCTGGTGAATCCGTTAGATCCAAGAAACGCCGATAAAATTAGAGTTAAAATTGCCGACCTGGGAAATGCTTGTTGGGTGGTAAGTTGTAATTAATTAAACACGTCTAACAACTTCGCTCTTTAAGTCTCCTAGCTGAGTTGGAGCGTTTTGTAAATTAATGCCTGTCGTTTCTGGTTTTTTTTTTGTTTTTTTTTTAGCATAAACATTTTACGGAAGATATCCAGACCCGACAGTACAGATCGATTGAAGTTTTAATAGGGGCAGGTTACAGTACACCCGCTGATATCTGGAGTACAGCATGTATGGTAAGAACCACATTGTGTACTTGTTTTCCTGCTTCTGAATCAGAAATCATCTTCTTTGAATGACCCCATAATCCCTTGGGTCGTAGTGGAGTGGGGGCAACTGAATGGAGCTGAGTGTTTTAATGGCTGGATGCCCTTCCTATCACCAGTGCAGAGTTCTATTCAGCAGATATATTCTCAATGTGCCCAAAGAGAGAAATACCTGCCTCTACCTAGGATCAAACTCACGAGTTGGAGATCCCCTCAGGTTGGAGACCCCTGCTCTAAAAAAACGAAATAAAGCACAGGGAAGCGCAGGGGCTGGTGGGCGGGGCCAAATGCTCACCGGAACTACCAGTTCGCTTGAACCGGTCCAAACCGGTAGAATCCTACCCCCCCCCCCGCCCCCCAGTTACCACCACTCGGTGGAAGAAGATTTGTCACCCCCTGCTGGCTGCCATGAGCAAGTCTCCTCCGAAGCTTCCACTTCACACATTCCTCCTACTCAACAGAACCACAGACATTTGTCTCAGGAGGACATTTCAAGGATCCCTAATCAAGATATCAGGCGCGTAACTCAATTGGCAGCAGAACGAATCCCACTTCCCAAACTTACCCTGAAGGGCTGTGGAACCTACTGTCCTTCTTCCTGGCAGCCCACAGGTGGAGAAGACCACAGGTTGCCCGGGGAGGTGTAACTCGTCTGCCCACAATGAGTGTAGACTTCATCGGATGTTGAGGCAGTCAATCAGTCAATCAGAATAGAGCTGGAAGGGACCTTTGAGGTCTTCTAGTCCAGCCCCTTGCTCAAGCAGGAGAATCTGTACAATTTCAAATAAATGGCTGTCCAGTCTCTTCTTTAAAACCTCCAGTGATTGCCCTCATTGTGAGGAAGTTTCTCCTTAATTCCAGGTTGCTTCTCTCCTTGATTAGTCTCCATCGTTTCTTGTCTTGACTTCTGGGGCTTTGGAAAATATTTTGACACCCCAACCTTCTTTGTGGGAGCCCTTCAAATACTGGAAATCATTTCAAATTTCCCACTATAAATACAGCTACTAACTTTATTTTGGTATTTAATTGACCCTGTCTAAAATGCTACCAGCTTTCATTCTTTTGTGATCATGGGTATAAATCAGCAAACATATAAAACTAAAGAAAAACTGCTAAACTTCTCATTGAAGTCAGTGTTGAAGATTAAAAGGGTGGAAATGACAAGACACAGAGCACTGATTATTTCTATGCAGAAATAACTCCAAAAAAAGCCACTGCTATAAAATTCCCGACACAGTCTTATTAAAAAAAAAGCGTGCTAACCTAGCGAGATCCCTTCTTTTTTTTCACCAACGGTGGTTGACATTTTCCCCTCCTTCATAAGCAGCTTTTCATGAATTATGGAAATATGATCTTTGAAGAAAAATATGTTGCACAGCTATTTTTGGGTGAACAGCATTTTGATGCTTAACTGCAGGCAGGAATGTAGTCTATGTAGTAATACCAGAAGAAGTTAGTTACAGGTAGTCCTTGAGTTCTGACCACAACTGAGCCCAAAATTTATGTTACTAAGTGATTAGTTTCATCCATTGCTTCTTGTCCTGCCTTCTGGTGCTTTGGAGAACAGGCTGACCCTCCTTGTCTTTTTCGTAGGCCCTCAAATACTACAATACTCAAATATACTCAAATACCATTTTTTTTCCTTTGCATCCTGGGACTGTCCTTGGTATGTTCAGTTGTCCTGTTGATTTGCCGTCCCTAGGAGACGGCACCTTCTAGAACATCTATTTTTATTCTCCCTTAAAGCCACGGCACGTGCCAAGATCCTCAGAGAAACCGGTCACAGCATTGGCCTTATCCTTGACGGGCCAAGATTATTCCGGTTTGTTCCACTGCTCAGATTTGCCAGACGTGGTGACAAACCAGGATTCATGGTTTGTAACCATATTCCTGAGACTCCCAGCAATGGAAGGTTTGATCTGACTCTTGTCTAATCTCAGGTAGACTAGTTTCTCTCCCAATCCAGTAAACGCTTCACAAGGAAGTTCTCTACTGCAGGGGTCTCCAATCTTGGCAACTTTAAGACTTGTGGACTTCAACTCCCAGAATTCCTCAGCCAGTTTTGCTGGCTGAGGAATTCTGGGAGTCAAAGTCCACAGGTCTTAAAGCTTTGCTGGCTGAGGAATTCTGGGAGTCAAAGTCCACAGGTCTTAAAGCTTTGCTGGCTGAGGAATTTTGGGAGTCAAAGTCCACAAGTCTTAAGGCTTTGCTGGCTGAGGAATTTTGGGAGTCAAAGTCCACAGGTCTTAAAGCTTTGCTGGCTGAGGAATTCTGGGAGTCAAAGTTCACAAGTCTTAAGGCTTTGCTGGCTGAGGCATTCTGGGAGTCGAAGTCCACAGGTCTTAAGGAACTGGGGAAAAAAGGAATAAGTTTTTCACACTTACGACCGTGGTAGCATTTCCCACGGTCATGTGATCAACATTCAGATGCTTGGCAGCTGGTTCATATTTATGACGGTTCATGTCATCCTCTTTTGCGACTTTCTGACCAGCAAAATCCATGGGGGGAACCAGTTTCACTGAACAACTGTGGGACTAAAACCACACACAAGTGCAGTAAGTTAAGATACTCTCTATGGTGCAGCAGTAGAAGGTCACCAGCAGTTTTCCATTTAGTTGTTGTTTCCTGAGAAGCCTCAGGTGGTATAAACTCTGCTTGGCCCTTTTGACCAGGGCTGCAATGTGGGCACTCCCAAATCAGGTTTTAGTTTTGTCTTCTGGTTTTATTTTAAGTGTACATGCAATCCTTGACTTATAACTGAAGTGGAACCTGGAATTTCTGTTGTTAAGTCATGATGGTCGTAAGTTGAGACACTGACGCCACTTACCCACAGATAGGGTTGGCTTATGGCATAGTGGCCGTTGAAACTCACGCTGGGCACAAGCCCATGTTCTTGTATGGTTTAGATTTTCTGTGAAGCTTCTTTTAAATCCCACATCCAGAAACCGAACCCTGCTCTCCATCTAAGAACCCAGCAACTGCTCTTTATAGAAATAATTTTCATTTGCATCTTAAAAACTACGTAAATAAGGGTTTTTCATTGACAGATAGTCCTGGATATACGACCACAGTTGAGCCCAACATTCCTGTCGCTACGTGAGACCTTTGTGTTAAGTGAGTTTTGCCTCTCTCTGCCACTTTTCTTGCCAAGAGTTGTTAAGCGAACCAACTGCAGCTATTCAATTAGTCCCACCGTTGTTAAGCGAATCCGACTTTCCCCACTGACTTCGCTTGTCGGAAGGTCGCAAAAGGGGATCTCGTGACCCCAAGAGACTCTGAAACCGTCATAAATAGGAGTCAGTTGCCACTCACCTGACATTTAACCACCTGGCCATGAGGATGGTGGAATGGTTATGTCACGCCCCTGTTGGAATCTGATTCAGAGGGGAAGGCTGAGCAGCTGACAGGGAGTGGGAGTGTGGCTCAGTTGGCTGTGGAAGAAACTGGGGAAGGGCACAGTCCAGCTGGGCAGAGCAGGGGAGAGGTAGAGCAAGGCAGAGGGAGTTCAGAGGAAGATCCAGGCCCACCGCCTCTTCATCCTAGGGCACGCAGGGAGAAATGGAGAAGGGAGCAACGTGAGTTGCATGGCTTACAGGGGAGGAAAGGGCCTTGATTCCCTTCATTAGCTGCAGCTGGGAACACTGTGTTTAAAAAGGGAACTTGCGTGCAGCAAACTGTAGGGAGCAAATTATCTGGTATTGTCCAGGCTTATCTGTGTTCCTGGCATCTTCCCAACTGTGTATGTTTGGCTGTGCTTTCAAGTCGGCAATTCCTTCTCCTGCCCTGTCAAGTTAATTACTGCAGTGTGGTTTGTGTGGATTTTTAGTTACAGTTTGTATGTACTTTGTTTTCGAACTGAATTTCCTCCACTTAAAGACTGTTCCTGGGAGAGTTTTTCTCCAGCTAAAGCTAACCTGGACATATTGGGGGCAAAGTTGGAGGTAATTAAAGAGACTCTTCTTGCTTATTTAACTGCGTTGCCTTTGTGCCACGCCCCTTTGGGTCATCACAGGTTATAAGTGTAAAATAAAAGATCAGAAGTTTAATCCAGCATGATGAAAGAATCATAGATTTTTTTTCCCAGCTGCATTGGGATTTTGAACGGTCACTAAATGAACTGTTGTAAGTCGAGGACTATCTGTATTCCTTGAATAAGAGAAAAAACTCGTCCACTGCTAAAATATCCTTCTCTTTTTTCTTTTTTTTAAAATCCTAGGCCTTTGAATTGGCAACTGGAGACTATCTCTTCGAGCCACATTCTGGTGAAGATTATTCCAGAGATGAGGGTATGTATTTTTTTTATTTGTTATTTAAATATCTAGGTGTCCTTTGAACCTTTGTGAATATTCCTAGGAAATACATATGAAGAGACAGTCCCTGAAAACAATTTCATTTCCAAGGGGAGGAAAAAGTCTGCATTTCCCCCTCCTCTTTTAAAATCCCACTGCTAACTGTAAGTCGCTCCCTTCTGCAGAAATATTTTTCCTCCCAAAATCCTGAGAGAAGATTTCTGTCCCGTCCTGTAAGATCTGCATCTGTGTGTGTGTGTGTAAAGATTGAAATTGTGCAGCTTGGATACACAGCCTTGTGTGGCGCGATCTCGAGACACTAAACTTGACCCCGAATGCCAATTTCCCAATTTTGAGGACATTGGACCGTATTTACCCCGTTAGGCAGATTTTTTTTTATATCTCTTAAGGATTATCTGCGAATTTGGGTGGTGGGGATGACAACATTTGCCATCTTGAATTTGCTGAAAGGGGAAAAATAGAAGATACGGCAGAAAAAAAAACCTGAATAATTGCTTTATTATTAAATTTATAAACTGCCCTGCTAACTAGCAAGCAGACTACTAAATATCATTTAGTAAGGTTGGAACAATTCTGTGAGAATTGTTTGGCAGCTGGAAAACAGCAGTTTCAAGCTGGGGGGGAAAAAGTAGAATATTTAGCAAATCGTTTTGCAAAAACAAATGTTAGGCAAAATGTTTATGTTAATATGCGTTAATATGTCAATTAATATACATTCTTTTCTTTTTTTCATCCTGCCCTGCATTTTTTTGGAGCATGGCTTCTGGCAGGAATGTGTGTGTGTGTATGTGTGTGTGTATGTGTGTATTAGTATTATTATGGTATTAGTCTTAAATTCTGGTTTATTATCTTCCTTTTGGGTAAATACGATCATTACTAAATGATTTACGGGTAAGTCCTCGACCTACGACCATAATGGAGCCCAAAATTCCCACTGCAGTCCAGTCGTTAAGTGAGTTTTGCCCCCTTTTATGACCTTTTCTGCCACAGTTGTTAAGTGCATCATGTGGTTGTTAAGTGATCACGTGGTTATTCAGGGACACTGCAACCGTCATAATTACAAGTCAGTTGCCAAACGCCCAAATTTTGATCAGAGGATCACAGTCTTAAGGGAAGGAGTGGCTGTGAGTTCGATCCTAGGTAGATATTTCTCTCTCTGGGCACAATGAGAATGTATCTGCTGAACAAAACTCCTCATTGGTGATAGGAAGGGCATCCGGCCAGGAAACACTCTGCTAGCTCCATTCAATTACCCAGACTCCACCCGCAAGGGATTATGGGGTCATTAAAAGATGATGATGATGATGATGATGATCATGGTCTTATGTGTGAAACAGCCAACGCACAGTCGTAAGTCGAGGACCCGCCCTGTGCAGTCCTATTTCCATCTGTGAACCTGTTTCCTCGGAGCGTCCTTGGCAGCGGTGTTAACAGGAGCCTGGCTTACTTTTTTTGCTTTCCTTTTTAAGCGCTGCCGACGGTCCCTGAACTCTCGGGACCCTCTGCATGGGGTTTCCTGCCAAAGTGGGATCGCGTGGAGAACTTCTTTGGATTTCTTTCTTTCTTTCTTTCTTTCTTTCTT